GAGGCCGCAACTGTGGCTCGTGCCGCACTGGAGGAGTGGAGGATGAGGACGTGGGGGAGAGCAGAGGGCAGGGCGCGCGCGCGTGCCCCGCCGCCCCGCCGCCGCACGCATGCCCCGCCGCCCCCGCCGCCCGGCGCGAGCGAGCGGCGCGGCAGAGTAGCAGCGAGCGACTCCTCGCCTCTCCCCTCCGGTTGTTTTCTTTACACCGCCTCTCTCTCCTCGTCAACCTGGACAGAGGTGCGCCCCCGTGCTTCTGTCACCGACCGAACGCCAAGCTTCAAGCCTTGGCCCGTGGGGGGCAGCGGCAGGGGGCTCGGTGAGCGTAGACCGTCGCTAACCACACACCCGTTGCGTGTGGCACCGAACCCCCGTGTGTCCGTCAGTCCGCGCGGCCGCCAGCCAGGTGCTCATGCGGCTGCGCGCCGCAGCCCTCGCCTGCCGCCAGCCTTTCTTGCTGTTGCCTTGCAGACAAGGTTTGGAGTCGTCGTGAGGGGTGAGAGCGCAGTCTCTCCAGCTCAGACATGAGACTACAGCGAGTCAGACGCAGCCGCCCTCTCTCCCCATCCTGCCCTCCCTCTCCCATGCTGTGATCAGAGAGAATCGAGCCCTGGCGGACAGGGAAAGTTGGGAACGCCGTGGCAGGACCGCCCCTCTGTTGTTCCGTACGCTCTCTCCTGACCACGGTTGAAAATCAGCCAAGCTGGCGTTTAATGACTAGTGGAGGTTGGTGGGTTGGTTAAGGATGTTTTGGAGGTGGGACTTGCACTCGGCGTTAAGCCCGAACTGTATGCGAGATATACCTTGCCCTGGTGCGAGACTCGAGTTTTAGTATGCCAAATGCCTCCAGTCGACACTGGCCGCGCCTTGCCAGTGCCACATTGCTGCCTCGCATCCAGTCGTTGGCGCAGTTAATACTATGGGACTGGGTGGGTTTGTGCATTTCATGGATGGTGGGTTGGAGGTACTGTACTGTACTTGTTCACTTGGTGCCCGTGCAGCCTTTTAAGTCTGCTAGCCGCAGCGCCGCTCTCTCTCTGACCGTCACCAGGCGAAGCAGATGCGCAATCTAAAATCCCCCCTCCTCCTCCTCCTCCTCCCTCCTCCTCCTCCTCCTCCTCCTCCTCCTCCTCCTCCTCCTCCCCCTCCTCCTCCTTCTCCTCCTCCTCCTCCTCCTGCTCCTCCCTCCTCCCCCTCCTCCTCCTCCTCCTCCTCCTCCTCCTCCTCCTCCTCCTCTTCCTCGTCCTCCTCCTCCTCTTCCTCCTCCTCTTCCTCGCGAGAAAGGTAAGGGGCAAACGCGACGCGACGCAGGGGCAGCGGCCGCGCGCTTTCTCCTCCGCCGGCGACGTGACGCCGCCATCGCGGATCGAGTCTGTGCGGGACGCGTCGGCACGAGTTGCGCCTGGCGTCGTGGATGAAAGGCCGGGAGACAACGGCCGCGCACACCGCGCGCATTTCTGGCGATCGCGGCTTCGCGCGCCGCGACGCGTCGGAGACGATCGGGCAGAGAGAACGAAGACCGCGCGCCCGGCCCCTCAGTAGATGGGGCGGGGGTCCACAGGGATCGGCCATGCCACGTGCATGCCCTGGCGTGGGCAGCGAGGGTGGTGGGACAGACAGCAGGGAAAGCAGGGCGGAAGCGGAGGCGCAGTGCAGCCGACACCGCATAGGCGAAGGGAAGAATGACGAAGACCAGGTGAGAAGGAGAGGCAGGCACATCAAGGCGACAGCCGCACATTGGGGAAACAGTGCCAAGAGCATGCGGGCCGAACGGCCAGCAACACGCAGAAGCCACACACACATGCACCCCTTCTTGGGGCCTCTGGGGGCCAGCGCGTGGATCTCCGGGAACCTCCCAGGATGTTCTGGGACCTCCGGAAACCTCGAGAGGCCCCGGCATCTGGGCGTAGTTTTTTTTCACGCTACGCGTTTTCGCGTGGTTTCAGAGCCTTGGACAACTTTTCAGAAGGCCAGAGGGCTTCTGGGCGTTCTGAGAAGGGCTTCTCCTTCTCACTCCCCCCCCCCTCGCTCGCCGCCGAGAAGGGGGAGGTGGCTGTCAGGCTGTCAGGCAGACCCAGGGAGATTCGCCCCAGAGCGCTAACAGAACCCCCTCGGAGCGTCCACGGCGTGCCTCGGCGCGGCCACCGGCGCCCGATGCACTCTCCAGACCCGCGGGCTCGCAGAGGTTCCAGACTGCTCCCAGGCCGCTGCTGCCTGGACCCTGCCTTCGTGCGTGGCTGGGGCAGGGGGGGTCCGGCCACGCGCAGAGGTGGGGCAGGGGGGGATGGGGAAGGCTTCTTGGAAGCCTGTCGCTTAGAAGGCGCGGGCCTGATCTGTAGAGGTAGGGCCGGCGCCTTCTTAAGAAGCAGCCCCCCCTCCCCCTACCCCGTTGCGCGCGCCGTCTAGGAGGGCGGGACGGGCGCTTTCTCTTCGCTGTTTTTTTTTACAGCGCCCCTCGGTTGGCTCGACCGCGGCCTGGTGTCAAGCCGTTGCGACAACGAAGTTCTCTCTGCTCCCCGCTTCAGCCACATCGACGAACGGCATTCGCTTCTGGGCCGGCGTGCCGCTCCCCGCCTGTGCGGGCGACGCGCTGGGGGCGCCTGGCCAGATCGTCTGACTTCTTTCCCCTCTCCGCCCGTATGTCTTCTCTTCCCCCTTCGCTCCACCCCTCTTTCTCCTCCCGCCAGAGCCCCCATGGTGAGCTTCGCTTCTGGCTCGCCACCCCTTTGGACGCGTGGCGGCCTCGATGCTCCTCCTTTCTTTTCCTTTCTCCTCCTCCTTCCCTTCGCGTCCCCCTTCCCCCTCTTCCTTGTACTTGTCCACGTGGTCGATGTCGTCGTCCTTCCCCTCATCTTTTCTCCTGTCTCCTTACTGATCCTCCCCCTGCTCCTCTTTCTCCTCCGTCTCCTACTCCTCAGACTCGTCGTCGTCCTCCTCCCTGCTGTCCCTTCTTCCTTCTCCCCCCCCCCCTACCCCTCCTCCTCGCCCTTCCACCTCCTCCTCCCTCCTCTCACCCCTCACCACCCCTTCTCCTTCTCCTTCGCCTCCTTCGTCCAGATGCTCTCCCCTCTCGCCCACCTCCTCCGCTGCCCCCACCTCCTCCGCTGGGGAGGGGCACGAGGAGGAGGAGGAGGAGGAGGAGGAGGAGGAGGAGGAGGAGGAGGAGGAGGAGGAGGAGGAGGAGGAGGAGGAGGAGGAGGGCGGGGAGGAGAAGGAGAGGGACGACGACAACGACAACGACGACGACGGCGAAAACGAGGACGACGACGACGACGACGCCCTGCCTCCTCCCCCAATGCTCCGCCCCTCCTCCCCTGCCCCCCCCGCCCCGCCTCTCCGCCGCGCCCCCCTTCCTCGCCGCTCCGGGTCGGCGCCGCCCGACCTGCCGGGGCAGCGCCGGGCTGCGCTCGGGACGGGCCTCGTCGTGTGATGGGCCTGTTTTCCACCACCACCACCATAAGTTGGAGGGGGAAAGGAGGAGGAGGAGGAGGAGGAGGAGGAGGAGGAGGAGGAGGAGGAGGAGGAGGAGGAGGAGGAAGAGGACCCCCTCCCCCTCCAACTTACGGTGGTGGTGGTGGTGGTGGAAAACAAGCCCATCATCATGGGCTCCTGGCCCGGACTTGCCGGGCGCGCGCGCGCGCGCTCGCGGCGCCTCGGCCGCGCGAGCGCGAGGGCGACGCTGGGCGTCCAGACGACACGCAGCATCCTCGGCCTCACTCTCACTCCGCCTCTGAAAGAGCAGGAGACGGCAGGAACAGGAACTTTGGACGGTCCGCGCGGATTTCTGGGATCTGCGCTGGGCCTCCTTCCTTGGCGCGCGGAGCGCGCCAGGGGTGGCGCCCGAGGCGCCGCCAGAGGGTCCCAGTGCCGATCCAAGAAATCCGCGCGGAGCGTCAACAGTATAATTTTATGCAGTTGCTTTTCCTCGAGTCTCAGCCCCGTCCTCTTCGGCCTTCGCCTTCTGCCTATTATGTGTTCCATCTCCTCCTTCTGCTCACCGCTCTCCTTGTCGTCGTCGTCATCGTCGTCGTCGCGGTCCTCCTTTCGGTCCTCCTTTCGATCCTTTTTTCGATCCTCCTTACGGTCCTGCTGCTCCTTCTGCTTTTCCTACTGCTTCTGCTGCGCCTCCTCTCCCTTCTTCCCCTCCTCCTCCCTCCTTGTCGTCCTCCTCGCCTGCCTTTACTGCTGGGGGGGAAGCGGAAATGTGTCAGTCGTGATGAAGAGGTGGAGAAGCACCATCATCCTGAACGGGTCGAGCAGACGGTCGCCAAGTGGCTGAGATGGCATCATGAGAGTAGCATCGTCCATCCAGGCCGCTGGCCCCCTCCCCAGGCCTCCGACGCCGTTTCTTTCAGTCTGTGGGTCTCCGCACTCTCGACCTCCTTCCAGGCACGCGCTTTTCATCCCAGGCCGTTTGTTGGACAGTCCTGGGGAGGAGGAGGAGGAGGAGGAGGAGGAGGAGGAGGAGGAGGAGGAGGAGGAGGAGGAGGAGGAGGAGGCAGCCCCCGGACGCAGATTTGCCGGAGCAGCCGAGAGTTCAGGGGAAGATCGTCTGGGTGGCGCGCCACAGTGGGCGCGGCCCCTTTCCCTGAGAGGGACCAGCCCACCTTCGATTCTGCATCGCCCCGTTTGACGGAAAGCGCGCGTAGCGTCGCGATCCGTTGGTTGGGAGAAATAACAAGGGGGGATCGAGGGGGTTGGCAGTACCCGCCCCGGGTCCAATCGCTCGAATTTTGCCCATTTTCGGCCCAAGATGGCCCAAGTCGGCCCCAAGAACGCACAAGAGGCTCCCAAGATGGCCCAAGAGGCTCCCAAGGCGGCATAACATACCTCCAGGACGGCCTCAGGGAGGCCCAAGAGGACCCCAAGACGGTCCGTAGCCATTTTGGTTCAAGCTTTATTGGTTGAGGCCTGAGCCCCCTCCCGCTCCCGCTCATGCACCTCGGTGCGCTCGGCAGAAACAGCCCATGGGCTGCTGCCGCGGCGCACGCGGGCCTTTCCAGGGCGCGGCCCTGTTGCACGCCTTCGCCGTCGGGGCCGCGGCGGGGGTCGGCGAGCACGAGCACGGGCGCCGCGACAAGTTCGGATGCCCCATTGAGAGCACGCACTTGCTGTCGCCAGCCCAGTCGTGCTGCTACGCGAAGATCGTGAAGGACCCCAGCTGTTGCCTCGACACTCACTTCAGCAAGGGCGTGACGCGCAGGAACTTCACGCGGCCGGGCACCTCTTGGAATTGCCGCAAGAAGGGCTGCTATGACAGCCTGAGAGGCCCCCGCGGCACGGACCAGATGACGATCCCACCAGGAGCGGACTGTACGACCCCCAGGATTCTTTACATCCACGGTGGCAGCTGGATGTACGGGTCGCCCTTCACGACGGGCTACCCCCAGCTGGCCTCGAAGCTGGCCGCGGCGGCTGGGGCGGTGGTCCTCATGCCCGACTACCCCCTCATACCGTACGGCAACTACACCTCGATACTCGAGGCAGGCCTGAGCGCCCTGCGGTGGCTCTCCCAGCACGGGCCGCTAGACGAGTGCCGCCCGTCCGATCGGGCGCCGCTCCTGGTGGCCGGCGACTCCTCCGGCGGCGGCACCGCCATGTCGCTGGTGCTGCAGCTGCAGGCGAGGCCCGAGTTGCTGCCCGGAGCGAGCCTCGTCGGCGCCTTCATGTTCAGCCCGTGGACGAACCTCATGTGCAACACGCCGGAGTACTACACGAACGCGTTCGCCGTCATCAAGGACTCGCACGTGAGGTTCGAGGACCTCGGCGAGTACCAGCAGTTCGTGGGGGACATCATGTTCCAGTCCATCGCGTTGCAGTCGGCCAGCCTGTTCAACGGGAACGCTGTAGCGTATGTGGGCAAGAACACGTCCTTGTTGACCGATCCAATCGCTTCGTCCTACTTTGCTGGCCCGGAGCAGTTCAGCGCCGAAAGCATGCCGTCGTTGTTCTTTACAGTAGGGGGTTCGGAGTCAATCGAGGGCGACACTGTCCGCGTAGCCAACACCGCCGGGAAGGGCGGCGCGGACGTCGAGGTAGAGGTCTACACCGGTATGTGGCACGTGTTCCCCATGTATTCTGAAGGTTGCGACAGTGGTCACGAGTTGTGGGCAGGTATGAACGCCATCAAATCGACCGGGGCGTTTGTAAGGAGGGTTGTCGCAGGTGGCAAGGATCGCGTCCGGCACGGATTTCCCCGCATCCACCACTTGTACGATCCCCACATCGACAAGTACGAGAAGGTCGGGCAGCTCCTGCCCAATCGCGTGCGCGTGTCGGAATACCAGAAGATTATCAATCAGGTCGTGGCCAAGCCCTGGTGGGTCGTGCTGGGCTCGCTCGCGACCTCCGCCGGCGCGATCTTCCTGATGGGGCTCTTTCTCGGCAACCTGATGAGCTACGGCGGTATTCGGGCGTACCGCAGAGCCGCCCGCGTGGCCGAGTTCAGGAGGCAGTTCGTGGAGGTGCCCGTCGGCTACGTGTCGTTCGATGGGCTCCAGGGTCGCAGGCCAGCGAGCACGTTCATGGAAGACTTCATCAGGGGCGTCCCCACTACGGATGAGAGGTCCTGGCGGGTGGAGACGGCCAAGGCGAAGCTGTCCAGCACTTCCGAATCGGACCGCGTCGAGGCGGCGCGTGCGGAGAATGCCATGTGGAGGCGCGCCGCAATGGCCGGCGGGGTCCAGGAATCGCCGTGCAGGACTCCTCCCGACGGCCAGAAGGAAGGCCTGGAGGACGGCCAGAGGCCGGACGAGCTGATGGCGGAGGTGAAGCTGAATCCCTTGGAGGCGTGGGCGGTGTCTACCAAGGAGGCTAAAGACGGCGGCATCGAGGCTGCGAGGCGCGAGAACATGGCCTGGCGCCTGCAGAACAAAGAGCGCGGCTCGGGCAAGTGAGGGTAGGTTATTTAGGGCTAGGACAGGTTCGTGCCAGAGAGCAGCGCAAAAGTTGTCACGACACGAGCCTGCCATAGGGCACCCGCGCGGCATTCCCTAGGGCGCTGGGCGTCGCCGCCGCGGGCGCAAACAGAAAAAAAAGAGGACCCCGAGACGGCCCAAGAGCGTTCCAAGCGAGCCCAAGACGGCTTCAAGACGGCCAGAGAGGCCCTCAAGACGCTTCAAGAGGCTCCCAAAAGGACCCCCAAATGGTAAACATCGCGTCCTTCTGGTTTGAAAGGCCTCCAAGACGGCCCAAGATGCCGCCAAGACCGCCCCAAGACGGCCCAAGACGTCCCCAAGAGGGCCCCAAGACGGCCCAAGTGGGCTCCAAGACGGCCCAAGAGAATCCCAAGAAACCCAAGAGAGGCCCCTGAGGGTCCCAAAAGGTCCCCAAGAGGGCCACGAGAGGTCCCCAAGACGGCCCAAGCCCCCCAAGACGGCCCAAGAGGGCCCCAGGACGGCACAAGAGGGCCCCAAGACGGCCCAGGAGGGCCCCAAAAGGACCCCAGGAAGTTTCGGAAATGCAATATTAATTGATTTTCGCAAGGCCTTTTGATAGATTTGCGTATGTCGTACCAAAGCCTTAACACCAGCAGGGCTCGAAGACACTAAGCCAGCGACCTCGCGCCCTCACAAAGTACACGCGCTGTCCGTCCCCGTGCCGAGCAGGTCCTGAGATCTAGGCCTCCCAGATGGGGTCCGAGTAGATGGAGTCAGAGGATCGCGCCGCATCGCCGATGTATCGGCGACGTGGCTCGATGTGGACCCCGATTTTCTCCACGCCGACGTCGCCGATGCATCGCCGACGTCGCCAGTGCACTGCCGATGCATCGGCGATGCACCGGCGACGCGGCGCGATCCTCCGACCCTATCTGCTCGGACCCCACTTGGGAGGCCTCTATTGGAGCAGCGGGGGGCGGGCGACCATCCCCCATCCCACCTTCGATCCCCCCGCGGACTGCGAGGGAAGGCGAAGAGGACGAGGAGACCACGAAGGGGAGGAACGGAGGCGCCAGCGGTGACATGTGCCTCGTCCCGCGTCTGAGGAGTGCCCTGGCTGGGTCGCTTCGCTGGCGTTGCAGGCCCATCGGCAAACATGTGTCGAGGGGGGCAGCTGGCCACAAGCTTGTGCAGTTTCGCGCCCCTGCCGAGACTGACCGCCCTGACTACGCGGTCGTCGCGTGTTTGGGCTGTGGTCCAGCTGCGCCCCTCGCCGGTCCAGCCCCGGCCCGTTGTGCCGTCCTGAACAGGGTCCTCCCCCCTCGCTCTCTCCGCCCCCTTCGCCCTCTTTCTCTCCCTCCCTGCCGCCCTGGCGGCCGCTGCCCCGTCCCCGCGCGCCCCGGCGTCCGTCTCCTGGGCCTCGTCCCGCTCGCGGCGCCATGTTGGGGGCCCGGCATCGTGCCCACCAGAGGTTTCCTCTGCTGCTTCCCTGGGCCCCCGCAGCAGCCACCGCGGTCGTTGTGCCCGCTGCCTCGCTCAGGGTGCCCGGGCGCAGGCGCCGCAGTCTCCGCAGTATCCTGGGGGCTCACTGCTCGCGGTGCCCTCTCAGCAGCTGCCGCAGTTGTCGTACCCGCTGAGTCACTCTGGGTGTAGCGCAGACGCCCTGGGCGCCAGCCGGTATGAGCCGCCGTGTTCGGCCCCGGCACCTGGACAGCATCTTCTGCCTCCCTCTGGCCCACTGGCCCCCCCCTTCGGGCAGCTGCATTGTGCATCGCAGCCGCGCAGGCCCTGCAGGAGCCGCCCCCAGCCGCCAGCCCGAGGGTGGCCGCTCCCTGCTCGCCACTTCCTCTTTCTTGTATCCTCTCTCTGCGGCCTCTCTCGCGAGCAGCCGCAAGATGTTCTCCCTCCTCCGCCCTCGCCGCGACTACAACAGTTGCGGCTGCGTAAGCCTTCCACCCGACCGTCCGGGCTTTGGTGGGGCTCACAGACGTGTGACTCAACGCCCCTGCAAGAGGGGAGGCGAGGAGGACGAGGATCCTGGCGTACCGCCTTGGGCGTGGGACACTGCAGGCGGCCGTTCTTAGAAGTCCTCCAACGATTTTTGCACTTGCGCGACCAAGTTTCGATGATCAGGATCCGCACGCAGGGCAGTAACCCACGGTTGGACGCCAAATTTCGAAACATTGCATGTCGCCCCTTCTTGGCCCGAGAAACGACGCCCCAGTTGGGTTGCCCTGAGCTGAATGGGGTTGGGAACGAGGAGGACGGTGAGGAGGGCGAGGAGGAGTGGACAGGAATGGGGAGGGCGAGGCGAGTGAGGGTGCCCCCTCCTGTGGCTTGAATCAAGCGGAGCGTGGAGGACGGTAAGCACGTCGTTTTCGGGCGCGTCATCCAGGGCGTGGACATACTCTCGAAGCTGGAGTCCTCAGGCATCCGCCCCCGCGCGCCACTTCTGTCGCCGTCCGCAACGCTTCTACCCTCCTGCTACGCGGTCCACCCTCGCTCTCAGCCTTTACCTGCCTGTTCGGGAAGTACGACGGCGCCCCCCCGAGCAAGAACCCGAACCCACTAAGGATGCGCCCGTGATGGAGGAGGAGAAGGAGGAGAAGGAGGAGAAGGAGGAGAAGGAGGAGAAGGAGGAGAAGGAGGATGAGGATGAGGATGAGGATGAGGAGGAGGAGGAGGAGGAGGAGGAGGAGGAGGAGGCGGAGGATGAAGATGAGGAGGCCGAGGAGGAGGAGGAGGAGGACGGAGGACGGAGGACGCAGGACGGAGGAGCAGGAGGAGGAGGAGGAGGAGGTGGAGGAGGAGGAGGAGGAGGAGGATGCGGCGAGAGAGGTTTCTTAAAATTGGCCAAGCAGCAGGACATCGAATGGAGGAGGATGGGGAGGACAACCAGGAAGAGGCATAGATGCTTGCTTGTAGCACAACCAGTGCTTGCACCAAGGGATTCTTGCTCCTGCTGAGTACTTCGCTGGCGTTTCTGGGTTGTCGTTCAGTGGGCCCCAGTCACCGCCTTGTCGCCGCCTCGTGCGTTGGCTGGCGTCCCCGGAAATTTAGCCTGTGGGAGCCCGCCGCCTCCTCGTCGCCGCGTCGTGCGCTGGATCGTGTTGAAGCACCCGCACATGGGCTCAACTCCGCAGAATCGTGGCCGTCAAAAAATGGGACTACGCCCCCTCGCCCCCTTGGGCTTATCCGTGCGCCTCTTTTGTTATGCTTCCAGTAGTTCGCCCGCACGGTCATTCACCAGCAAAAACCAAACAGTAACATCCTAGCCACATTGTCATGGACCCCCCGCCATCTCCTGCAAGCAAGCATATGCGACTCACATGAGTTGATCAAGTATTGTAGCATTCAGTAAAACAAACACTCTTGCAACCGATACAATGCTTGCGGGGCACAGGCGTGCTCCGCCGCGCGCGCATGTCAATCTTCTTCGCGCACTGTTCGTGCTCTGAAGGTTTCGCGGCATGGCTTTTTCAGGAACCGTCGAACGCCCTTTTCCACCAGAAGGTCCCAATAATTCTGCGCGCGCGTTCGCTGACATCACGAGACAACCATCGGTTCCCGAGCGTCGAGGCAATGCCGGCCGCACGCGCGCGCGCACGCCAAGCACGTCTCGCCCAGTCTGTCGAATAGTGCAAATGCGGGGCACGCGCGCGCTCGTCTCCGCGCGCGCGCAAAGTTGCAAGCCTTCTAAGGTCGGTTGCTTCTGCAGCGCTTCAGCACAGATGTGTTCAAGCACCCTCAGGAACCAACTGGTGTTCAATAGAAGTATGCCGGGCGTGCACTTCGTCATCAGCCTCATCAGCACAGCCGTTACTGTCATCGCCAGCGTCATCATTGCCATCGTCGTAATCATCATCGTCATCATCATCATTATCATGATCATCATCATCATCATCATCATCATCATGCCTCTTCTATTCTCTGTGAGCAAGCTCCTGCTGTCTCCGCAGCTTCTCTGCCCAAGTGCCCCCCGTCGGCCGCGCGTGCGGGCGCCTTATGCAGGCGGTCGCACAAACGGCTCTCCAGGGCGCTGGGGAGATTTTGTTCAGGGGGCTGCGGGCCGCGCTCTACGAGCGGCTCGTGGCTGCCCCCCTCTCTGTGCTTCAGGACCAGGGGCCTCCATCGCCTGCCTGGTCCATCCAGCAGGCGGACTCGTCCGAGGGTGAGGGGGCCTCCTGCCCTCTCCCTTCGGCGGGTTCCACCTGCCCCACCGTCTGCCTCGGGCTGGCGGTGGACCTGAGCGGCGGGGTCTCTCCCTGGCTGCTCAGCACGGTCGCCGCCCTCCTCTGGGTGACGGCCGCCTGCAGCGCCTGCGCGGGCTGCTGCCTCGGGCTGCTGGGCCCGTACGCGTGGCGGAGGCTCTGGCCCTCCGCCTGGCCGCGCGGCGCGGTTTCTGCTTCACCTGAGCAGGACCGCCGTGCGGCGCGAGCGCTGGCCTACGGGGCTCCGCCTCGACCTCAAGCGCTCGAGCGGGCAGACGCCCAGCGTGCGGGCGGCGGCGTCCACGGCGGCGCCCACTGATGGCGGAGCTGCCACCAGTTGGCGGAGGGCCCCTTTGGCCCGAGCTCTACCCTTTCGCTGCGCCCACGGCGCGCGACTACGCACGATGGCGCCTAGACGACGGCGACACCAGCTGGGCGGCTATCCCCCTCGCCTCTCGAGAAGGGGGCATCCTGCTGGCCCTGCCTGGTGCCTTTCGCTCTACAGCGGAGCTCGAGGCTGCCGAGGCGGATGGCTTTGCTGGGATGATAGGCCCCTTCCAGCTAGTGGACGTCCAGCTCCAGGGGGCCGCTTCACGGCCGCTCGCCACTACCGCATCCGTCCTCGTTATAGATATCGAGGTTGCCGAGCTCGAGCTCGAGTCGCTGTACCCTCTAGAGGTCGGCGACGACGCAGGCATCGTTCCCTTCGCCGAGGTGCGCAGCCGCGTCTATTGGCCGCATCCTTCGGGGGTTCGGGTGCTTCGCGAGGGCTACGCTCGTTTGCACGGCGCCCCGCCTACCGCAGGGGAAGAGCCTCTCCCAGGGGCCGATCGGGCTACCCCCTACCACTCTGCCGACGAGATGGAGGAGCCCGAGGGGTTCGCGGCCGACGGGGAAGCCGACCGCGCGGCCCCAAGTGCGCGAGCCCCCGCGGTCGCTGGAGCGCCGCGCGGCCCGCCCGCCAAGCGCGCTGGCGCCGCCGCGCCGCCACGGGTCGCGGGTCCTGCTCCGATTGCTCCTGGTGCTCCTGCGGCGTCTCTGGACGACGGGGCTCCCATGGCCCGCGCCGAGGTAGCTGCCGAAATGCGCGCCTTGCTTGCAGCCCACGCGGCCTCCACGATGGTCGGCGGACCCGAACCGCTGGGCCCCGCTCCGGCTGCCCGGAGCGCTCGGCCCGAGGTGCCTCAGCTTTTCAGCGACGAGGCGGCGCGCCTCGGGCTGGATCCTGCGGGGATCGAGGCCGTCTTGTCCCACGCGCCCGTGGCCCCACATCGGGTCTCCGCGCGCCCCAAGGGACCCACCTCCGCGCTGGTCTCGGCGTGGGAGAAGGCGCGCTCTCTTGCTGTCCCTCGGGCCCCTTCGTCCGCTTCCGGACCGATGGGCCCCCCGCCGCCGCCTGGGCTAGCCCATCCCGCTGCGGTCGACGGCTTTGCCGAGGCGGGCGGCGCCGACGGGTTAGAGCCGCCCCTTGCGGCCAATCCGACGGACTTCAGCCTCATGCTTCAGTGCCTGCACCAGTCCCTTTCCTTGCAGCAGGGGCGGGGCCATCGCCCAGCCTTCCACCCGCTTCTGGGGACCCTGAGCGACCAAGCTCAAACTCCGCCCGCGACCTCGGGCGACCCCGCGCACGCATCGGCTCAGATGGGGGGAATCGCTCGGAGGCGCGAGTGGCAGCAAGCGCTGATGCAGCACGGCCCCGACGTGCGAGGACTGATGAAGGAGAATTTGGCCCGCGTTCTGGGCGTGGAAGTCAGCGCCGTGACCCCCATGGCCATGCATCAGTACTTTCGCGAGCACAGCCCCCTCGGGGCTCAGCCGTCGACGCACGAGTTGTTGACGCATTTTGCCTTCCTCAGCGCCGAGCTGTGGCGGGCCTGCGAGGAGGGCAACCCCGAGAGGGTCCAGACCTTGCTGACTTGCCAGTGCATGTTCATCGACCAGTTGGCGGGGGACCGCGGCTACCTCGAGGCCGCTTGGTTCCTCACGGGGCTGGAGCCTCCCCCGTGTCGCGTGACCAGTCGTCACACGGAGCGCGAGGCCCAGACCCCGTTTTCACCCCTAGTGGATCCTCGCTGGCTGTCGGCGCAGGGCGAATACATGAAGGAGCTGCAAGCATTTCGGGCGCGCCTCGACGCCGAGCGCGCCGTCGCGCTCCCCAAGCATCCACCTCATCAGCCCAAGCAGCCCAAGGTCTCAAAGCCCCCCTTCAAGTCTCAGGGTGCTCCCAAGGCCCCGAAGGCGGTGCCCAAGAAGGACTGAAGATGCCCTTGGCGCCCGCCTTCTTGGAGGGGGGGCCTTCGCGTGGCCGGGGTACGCCGCCGCAGACAGTCTGCACCGACGCTGCTACGGCTGCTAGGCGTGTTTGGGCGCAGCGAGGGCGTGAGGGTAGGAATGCGCTCCTCCAGCGATGCTGTTGCGGCCCCGCAGGGAGGAGTACGTTCCGCCACCACGCCCCTCGCTCTGCTCCGAACCGCCCCTCGGATCCATTCGGCCATTTTGGCCGTCACCTGCCTCAGTCGAGCGCTCCCCCCATGGGGCCTGCAGCCCCTGAGGTTGGTGTTCTTGCTGGTGCTTGTTCTCCTTCAAGCACCCCTGCTGCTCTTGCCAACGTCGCGCCATTTGTCGCTGACTTGTCTGCCTTGCTGCGCCTGTTTCCAGGCGCGAACATTGATATCACCCACTGGGCGGCAGCGCTGTCCCAGGTTGGGATGGGTGCTCGATGTTCTCTTGGATCTTTCTCCCGCTCATCAATGCGTGCAATGGACAGGGACGACCCGTACCTTTTGGGGCCGCCTCCCCGCGATCCTTGGCCGTGCCCGCCTGCTCCACCTCTTGGTCCCCCGCCTGACGGCTTGTCGGCGAGGCGCAGGGAGCGCTGGAGATTGCGGCGCGCGGCGCGGACGCTCGCGCAGTATTCTGTTATTGCGTTGAACTGGCTCACTTTGGGTCATCCTAGCCTCGCTCCCGCCGAGGCTCGTGTCCGCGCCGCGGTCTCGCCCTGCCAGGAGGGCGTCCGCACCCGTATCGAACGGTTGTGTCGGATCGCAGTTCGCCTTGCCCGTGGTGGCAAGAGCGACTTAGGTCGAGCCTTCGCCAAGTTCGACTCTACTGAGGTCTCGCTCCATGGCCTGGCCACCCATGTTGCAGCTTTGGAGGCCTCCTTCACCTCCTCTTCTTCCGTGCCCGCCCCCATGCGGCACTGCCCGACCAGCGCTCCT